ATACAAAAAACACGAGACTAGACAAGGACATAAGAGGCTAAGCAGGGAAGCTAAGGGAGAGGAGGAGGAGAGGAGAAAAGTGCGACCGCCTTCGTCAAGAGCAAGAGCAGAAGGACATCAACAATTATCAACAATTATGTTATTGTCATTACATGTTTTCTGTGACAATCCTCCCTTATAGTTTCAGATTTTAGCAGTGCATTTTATCTCTCACATTTTCTGAATATGGTGTGTGAAACACTGAGTATGCCTTTAAATAAAAATTGCTGTTTAGCTACAACTAACTGTTAAGTTGTTAAGAGATGTGTGTAGTGTGTTTTAATGTCACTTTCTGATAAGGGTTTTGTCTTATTTTATTATGCTGCATCAGCCATGACTGGGTGCTGCACTAGTAAGATGTAACTCTCTATCTATAAGATGTAAATCTCTCTAAAATAACCTTGGCTCATCATGTCAACAGCTCAACTTGTAGTAAAAAATAACTATAAGTGTGAAACTCTGGAGTGGCAAAGTATGCGCACAATTTCAAATTTGTGTTGAAATTTCAAGATTTCAATGTGTCTTTTTTGAAACATGAAAGTACACTACCGGTCAAGGTTTTTATAACACCTCAATTTTTCCAATTCCAATCGAAAATTATGCAGTTTAAAGTCTCATTGCACTCTGAAATGAAAGGAGTCTTCGTAGTTGAAACTGAGACTCGCTTACTACAACCACTATTAAGCTGTGCCCTGTGAGCCGCCTGTGATAACTCTCAGAAACGTGTCCTCTGATTCAGTTGTGGCTTTCGGTCTCCCAAACCTCTTCCAGTCAAAGTTTCTTCCTTTTAAGTGTGAAGGAAACTGTATTCACTGACACCCATTTTGTGTTCCCTAAAAAACAGGCCTTTTGTATAATTCTGAAATGTACATTATTTTTCGGTTTTGGCTAACCTTACCTTTTGTTTTAACCTTGGCAGTTCACCACTTACCTTTGTACCATTTCAAGCTAATCACTGAACTTGAACGACTTGAACTGCAATAAATAGCTGGAAAAATTGGGGTGCTCTAAAACGTTTGACCGTTAGTGTATATGGACTGCTTTTTCAGTCCTTTTTCTGCTTTATGTGAAATTTTCATTTCTTATAATGCAGCTGAATTCACAGTGTACTTGTTCTTATTTACAGATAATTTTCTAAGTGGCCTGTTTTTTTTTTTCTTTTGTGACACACGCTGGAATGAGACTAAAAATTGCAGTTGGTCAGTTTATTAGGAAGCAGCTGGGCTGCAGAGAAGTTTTGATATCGCATTTTTGTGTTATGGAAACTGTCAAATAAGACAAAGTAAACAAAATCAGGTTGGCTATGAGCTTGTCTCTGGAGATGTGCAGCCAGTGTTTGTGTTTTTAGAAGCAGTGCATATATGTTTTGTAAAACACAAGAATCTGTTAAAAAGCAGCTCTGAACCATATTATTAAACACTTTTAAGAATCTGTTAACCAGGCTCTGCATGACTCGATTAAACAGTTTGTTACAGTCTGTCAATCAGATTTTTTTTTCTTTGCGTGAATACAAAAAATGTGACTCTATTTTTAAAAGCTACGTGAATTCATAATGATAGTCCTGTTAGAATATTACTGTGTTTTATACTTGTATAATTTTCTTTGTTTGGCAGGTCCAGAAGGTGCGAATTTGTTCATTTACCACCTACCCCAGGAGTTTGGAGATCAGGATCTGCTCCAGATGTTTATGCCCTTTGGAAATGTAATCTCTGCAAAAGTCTTCATTGACAAACAGACTAACCTCAGCAAATGTTTTGGTGAGTTCATGTACGTTTTTATTAAAAAAAAAAAAAAAAAAATAATATATATATATATATACTATATATATGTATATGTATATATATGTGTATATATATGTGTATATATGTGTGTGTGTATGTATATATATATATATGTGTATATGTATGTGTATATTATATATAGTATATGTGTATATATATGTGTTTATATGTGTGTATATATATGTGTGTGTGTATATGTATATGTGTGTGTGTGTATATATATATATGTGTGTGTTATATATATATATATATATATGTATATTATATATATATATATTATATATATATATATATATATGTGTGTATATATATATGTGTATATATGTAGTGTATAATATGTATGTATGTATATATATGTATGTATATATATATGTATGTATATATATGTATGTATGTATATATATATATATATGTGTGTGTGTGTTTATATGTATACATATATACACACACATATATATACATATATACATATGTATGTGTGTGTGTATATGTATGTGTGTGTGTATATGTGTATATGTATGTGTGTGTGTATATGTATATATGTATGTGTATATACATATGTATATATATATGTGTATATACATATGTACTGTATATATATATAAGGGGTGCAACGATATTCGTATCGATATTGAACCGTTCGATACAGTGCTTTCGGTTCGGTACGCATATGTATCGAACAATACAAAATTTGTAATTTATTTTATCAACTTTCCTTCTGACGATGCTGTCTGTGTTGAGCGCTCAGTGAATCTGCGTTCGACTACTCCGCCTAGGGTCGACAGTGCAGCCTAGGCGGAGTAGTCGAATGCAGATTCACTGAGCGCTCAACACAGACAGCATCGTCAGAAGGAAGAGCGCAGGGCAAGCTAGCGAGACAGAAGTTAAGCTCTCCTTGCAACATGGACCTCCCCCACCCTCATTCAGATCTGGCGTTTGGAATTATTTTGGTTTTCATGTGACGTATGACCCTGAAGGTAAGCGAGTCATGGACTAAAGTAAAACAGTATGTTGGATGTGCCATGCAATGCTCAATTACATGGGTGGGAACTAGTGTGTTAGCGCAGTTAGCTCGTTAACGTGTTGGCCGTCTAGCCCCATGCACGGGGCGATCGGCGGTAGCTCGTTAACGGAGATTTGCCGTGTTGTGGCGTTAAGGTCATTTCAACGAGATTAACCTGAAAGCACTAGTGGGAACACAACGAATATGACTGCACATTTACGCCGACATCATCCTAGTGCAAAGACAAGTGGAAGCAGAAAAAAAACAACAAGCATGCTACTAACTTTAGCCGAGTCATTTAGACAGCTGTTAGCACATGATTCTCCTTATGCTGCTGAGAATATAGCCCAGAAGAAGCGGATAGTATAGCTTTTATTTTGGAAAGAGCCATTTCTCTGTAATAAACTCTCTTTTCCAAAGATGAGTGATTCCTCAATCAGATACAGGGCTCGCAATATCGCTAGCCCGACGTCCCGGGGCTAGCGATTTTTCCAGTCGGGCTACCAAAATCTATCTCTTCCCTGCCCGTCGGGCTATTGTAGGAAGGAAAAATATATGTCAATGCTTTTGCATTCTTTCAGAAATGTAGCTGGGTAATTATGTCATTGGCATCGGTGAGCCACTGTCAATATGTGACATATTGAAATCGCGTTTGAATTTGCGCTTGTTTTTTTGCTTTCACTTTGCAATCGTGTGAACTGTGTATAGAGAGCGACAGCACTGATCTGTGAGTGATGATAATTTGTGCACCAATTCCTCTGACATCGTCTTATTAATCGTTAGCTTACTATGCAAACATGACAAGTGAAATCTCCCGCAGCTTAAACATGTGAGAGGTTGATCGCGCAGAGAATCGCTGAGCTTATGTGAGTGCGTGTGTAAAAGCAGCAGGATTTATATTTGACTACGATGACCTGGATGACTGAGAACCTTCACAGACAGATATATATTTTAGTTCTGCTGAGCCAAATAAGACAGGTCAGGGTGAAGAAGTGACAGCCAAAGAAAAGCTTACCACAAAACGGAGAAGTTATGACAAATCAGACTATAAGGCAAAAAGAAAGTGCAGCTTTATGGTTTCATGGACAAAAGAATTTCTGTGGCTGCAATATGACGAGCTAAATAACCAGGGCTGCACATAAGTGGTCCGCAGGTGCGCATTCGCTGTCAAAATAAAAAAACGCGCACAAGGGTTAGGGTTAAATTTAAAAACTGTACTTTTGAGTTAAAATATATATTTATAATTTTAATAAATGACAAATTAAAAAGGCATGAACATTTTTTGTATCGAAAAAATATCGAACCGTGACACCAAAGTATCGAACCGAACCGAACCGTGAATTTTGTGTATCGTTGCACCCCTAGTATATACGTATGTATGCATATAAATATGTTTTATTTGCAACAATTGGTTTTCTTCGGCACATTGAAAATACCTACTGCAAGCTGCGTTGAGCTGCTCTTAGTGTTTCTTTCTTCTCTAGGCTTTGTGAGCTACGACAACCCAGTGTCATCACAGGCAGCCATCCAGGCAATGAATGGTTTCCAGATTGGAATGAAAAGGCTGAAGGTGCAGCTGAAGCGCTCAAAGAATGACAGCAAGCCCTACTGAACGAGCTGAGACACTACAGGCTTAGTTAGGCAGGGTGGTGTTATGGTAAGTGTAGTGTGAATAACCAGCTGAGACTGATGCACTCAGAAACTTGTCTGTGTGCTACAGGGCTGCTTCACTGCTCCTCGTGGCCATTAGAAAACATGTCAGGACAAAGACAGACGTGAAGCTACATGACAAGTTTTGACACTAGCCTGGATTCTCCCCATGTTCTTTTGTGGTGTATGCACTTTTTCTTTTTAACAAAAAAGAGAAGCAGTTGTGTTAGTTTGCTGTGGTAGAAAGTAACACATATGAGTCATTTGTCAAGAAATGTTGCATGCTGACTATCAGATGCCAAATCTCTCTGTTGCCACTTCCTGTTCACCTTCTTCCTCTTTGACACATTTAATGTTAAAAACCAGGCAGCAAATGGGAAAGACAAATCTCTATTTGATGTGGTTTTCCCTGCTATCGCTTGAAATGGAGACCAAATAGTGATAGACACCTGTATTGTTTATCAGACTTATTTGTCAGGGTAGGCACAGAAGATCAGATTGTCAAGGTGGAGCACCACCAGTATGTGCAACTGGCATTTGGACTTAAGTGTTTTCGCATGTGTATGCGTGTGTGTTAAATCACTGATTTCTGCAAAAGTTAACAAGCCTGTTGTTGTTCTACCCTTTTCTCTGGCATTTTGAAAGAGTACCTGTGATTTTTGTGCGCTGGCAAGACTGTATTCCGTTTTAGCATTACTTTTAGGCTACGTCCACACGTACACAGGTATTTTTGAAAACACAGATTTTCCGTTTTCGTTTTAAAAAATAATCCCGTCCACACGTAAAGGCAGAAATGAAGGAAAACACTGCTAGGAACATGCCAAAGCAACAGGTGGCGATATATTCCTAACCGTGCAGAAATGTTGGCCAATCAGAAGTCTAGAAGCCTCGGTGGGAAAAAGTAAACAAAGCTGGGGCATAGAAGCAGAACCGAGTCGTATGTGTGGAGGGACAGTAACTGTGTGTATATGTGAGCATTTAAACACTGCAGAGAGAACAATTAACAGTATTGTAGAAATTCATTTCACCGAAACAATAACATGACGCACAGTGTGACGTCAAAGGCGCACACCTTTGACGCTGCGTTTTCTGCATTTTCTCAGTTTTTCTCGTCCACACGTAAATGCAAAAACGGAGTTTTCAAAAATATCCCCCCTGGCCGGAGTTTTTAAAAATCTCAGTTTTCAGTGACCAAAAACGGCGTTTACGTGTGGACGAAAGGTGCAAACGCATAGAAAAATCTGCGTTTTCAAAAATACCCGGGTACGTGTGGACATAGCCGTAATCGAGTCACTTTCATGTTTGATTATATTACATCTGTTGTTTGTCAACAGCAACAGTTTTATGGTGAACACTAATTGAGAGGCCTCAGGGGGTGAGTGTAGTGTAGTGTAGAAACCATGACCAATTATACTTGATATGGAATTATACTTCATGTATAATCAGTACATTTAATAAAACATGCAGTTGAGATGTAGATCAACCTGGGTGAAACATCAGGGACTGAGCTGATGTGATCTATGAAGCTTAACTGTCAACTTTAACAAGCAATAACCCCAACTTTCACAATAAATCCAAAGTTGAATGACTTCTTTCAGTTGCTTAAAATTCTGTGCAATGTGAACATGATGGTTTTCATTACTACATTTTGTTTTAGTTTAGTTTTCCACCAGCCCTCCCTTTTCATGATAGCTATCAGCTAGCTGACCTCAAGGGCTAGAGACTTTCTATATATTGTGCAAGATTGACCTGGCAGCTCTCTGAAATGCCAGGAAATTATATTGTGTTTTTGTTTTTTGCATGTTTCGTTGTACATAGAGCTAGGAAGGAAGATAAATGTTGAGATATATATTTTAATCGTAATGCTTTTTCTATTTCCATAGAGATTTTATACTTTCTGTAAGTCTTGGGGAACTATTATTGTCTAAATATTTATCTGATTGGAAATTATGAAGAAAATGTGGAATCTGCCACTTCACTTCATCTCTTGGTGTGTGTCCTAGACTTGCCTGTTGAACGTTGTTTCCTCTTGCTGATGTGTATTACATGACATTGTGGCACGAGCTGTATATGAAGGATCCATCTGATACTTTTGCTAGAATATTAATAATAATTGAAAAATAATACCAAGGATACGTTCAAAACTGAATTATTTGCAGAGGGGCTACCATGGGGAGTATTAATACATCCAGGGTACCCACGTATTTCATCAGTGTTTAAAGTCTTTCAAGACAAGGAAGTTCCATATTAAAGGAAAAACATTTGTTTAGCATAGCTTGATCAAAGGAGCTTGCAAAGAAAAGCGTCTGGACTTCTTTAAGTTGCTTGAAGACGTTTCACCTCTCATCCGAGAAGCTTCTTCAGTTCTAAGGTCAAATGGTGGAGAGTCCCAGATATAAACCTAGTGGGAGTGAACCCCCCACAGAGGGACAAAAGGACCCCCTGATGATCCTCTAATCACCTGAGCCAAGGTGTGAAATGGGTGTGGGTCCCAATCAGCCAGAGTTTCAGGTGTGTGTTCATTGTGAAACCTGGCCCACCTTTCATGCGAATTCCTGAGGTCAGATGGCCCAGGATGTGAGTGGGCGTTAAGGCGTCTGGGAAGGGATCTCAAAACTGGATTATAGATGGCAGAGAGTTGGTGTCGTAAACCCCCGCCTCTGTTCAAAGATGGTCGCTCACAGTGGACATAGATGGCTTCTTTCACTCCTCTTTCAAACCATCTGGGTAAGAAGCCATCTATGTCCACTGTGAGCGACCATCTTTGAACAGAGGCGGGGGTTTACGACACCAACTCTCTGCCATCTATAATCCAGTTTTGAGATCCCTTCCCAGACGCCTTAACGCCCACTCACATCCTGGGCCATCTGACCTCAGGAATTCGCATGACAAGGTGGGGCCAGGTTTCACAATGAACTCACCTGAAACTCTGGCTGATTGGGACCCAGCACCCAATTTCACACCTTGGCTCAGGTGATTAGAGGATCATCAGGGGGTCCTTTTGTCCCTCTGTGGGGGGAACTCCCACTAGGTTTATATCTGGGACTCTCCACCATTTGACCTTAGAACTGAAGAAGCTTCTCGGATGAGAGGTGAAACGTCTTCAAGCAACTTAAAGAAGTCCAGACGCTTTTCTTTGCAAGCTCCTTTGACTACGATGACCTGGATGACTGAGAACCTTCACAGACACATAGCTTGATCAGCTTTTCTGCTATAAGTTACGTCCTAGAGCAGGGGTAGGGAACTCCAGGCCTCGAGAGCCGGTGTCCTGCAGGTCTAGGTTCCCTACTCCAGCCCTAGAGAGTAACTGTTTGGGCACTTCCACATCTTTGTGTTCCCTGGGCTCTGTCCTTTAGGACTGTCATGTACTGTCTAATTGGACTAGGTATATCTTACTGTATATTACTGAATTCTCAAATGAAAGGCTAAGACTTGGCATTTTAAAGTCATGCCTATTATTTGTAAATAATAAGGCAGAGAGCGTGGGGGACACGAGTATGTGTTATTGTCAAAATACAAATCTATAATAAAATTACATTGATGTATTGTATGCATTTACATGGTGGCAGTTAACTATGTATTGAGAATGTAACCTTATAAAAGAACTGGACGTGCCTCATTTCACTCCATTTTTCATCCCCATTTGTTTAGCTCTTTCGTCTTAAAAGGATCTATCTGAATGTGTCCTTTGAGGAGAGGGCCCTTAACGTATGAGAGATCAGACCTCACACAATGTGATAATACTCTGGGCTCTCAGTCATTAATTGAAATTTTTTTTTATTTATTTAAAAAATTTAAATCACCTGCCAAATATTGTCTAGGTTGCCCTTGTGCTTCCAAGCACCTCAGAATACCATGACCTGGATGACTAAGAACCTACACAGACATATGGTTCACTGGTTTGATTAGAATAGTTTTTGAACAGCTATTTGAATCTATAGCAGTTAGGACTATGGGCTTCTACAATCAGTTCATCCAGTGTTAGTTTAGCACTATGCAAATACCAGACTTTATAACGCTGAGTAAATTAGAAACTGAACTATCAGAAACAAGGTAGAACTGTAAGATAGAATGCAAGATAACTAGTTTATTCCAATAAAGGCATGGAAATCATGCCTAACTTGATCCAGAGGTATAATTAATGTGAATGTCACATCCATCTTAATAATTTTTACTAAAATGTTTCAAGAAGGCCTTATTCAATTAGTCTGGATTAAAACTGTGCTCATGGCTAGGATAATTAAGAACTGTGACAGAAAGATAGGCCTGAGCACTCACAGGACAGATGCAGTTACATTTTCATATTTTACGGAAATTAATGTTCAACGTTCTTGAATCTTCAAATGAATAAATAGAGAGAGGAATTGACAGGACACACATGATTGTTCTCTTAGTATTTAGGTATAAACACCAAAGCCAGCAACACCAAACAAAGATGAAAACCAGCACAAAGAGACTTCAAAGCGACCACCACAGTGATTCTACTTTAGAAACAGTTTGGTACCTGTTGAAGTTCAGCAGCGGCTGGCTTTGCCACAAATGACAGCTCACTTTATCACTGCCCTGGGCTGTGGTCGGCATTTTACTCAGCTTTAACATAACCCAACTTAGTTTTAGATGCTGTCTATGCAGATGCTTGTGAAGAGCCCAAGTTGTGTTCAGAGTTGTTTCTGTCCTGGAGCAGTCTCCACTTCTCGTACTTTTCTTTTCTTTTTATTGCTCAAATGTCCATGTCCACGCTGGAGCTGTGCCACTATTTTCCTCCGACGACACATGAACTGAAATCAGCTGGTTTCAGTTTCAAAATTGCAAGAGTTGATAAGCGGGATCGATAGTCAGGCAGACTAACGAAGGAATTGGGCTACATCCCTATGAATAAAACCACTAACTGTTAGTGGTGTGCGATACTGCATATTTTGGTATCAATCCCATACCAAGGAAATACGGACCAGTATCGCTCGTACCGATACTTTTCAACAAATAAGGTGGATGCGTCATTGAATTGCTAAATCTCAATTAATTACCTTGACTTTAAGTGTTTTTTGTGATTATAGTTTTTTATTATTAAAATAGCTAAAACCCAGGACATAATTTGGACAAAGTTTATAATTAAATAGATTAAATAATTAAATAGAAAATGCTATAAAATTAATATTATCACTTTTGTTTTTTTGTTTTTTTAGAAAAATCTTTAATTAAAAAGTGAACGCAAACCAGTTAACAAATTAAAACAAACAAGTACTGTTGAGAAATAATAATACAAAAATTACAATTAAAATTCCCAACAACAAAAAAAAACAACTGGTGAAAATATAAATAATATGTAAACAACAACAACCCCCAAAGCGTCTAAGCCATGTCACGTGACGGCCCAATATCTAAACACAAGAGGGGTGAGGTGGAGCTGACACAGCAGCGGCGAGTCCAGCGACCTGGCTGTTTTGTCTTTGGCGAAACCACAGCATTGCAAACAAGCAGAACTTAAAGTAAAGAATCGATCTCACCAGGCCAGTATCGATCCGATACAGATGCCGACTTGGCATCGATACAATCGATATTTGGATCGATTTGCCATCCACTATTACCTGTCTCAACAAACATTTGTTCTAAGTTTTTAAAGTAATGCAGATTTCCAGATGCACTTAAATAAATGTTGAAAATCATCAGTTCCACTTTCCAGTTAGCTGATTTTAAGAGATGTGTGCAGCATGTTACATCAGGTACTAAAATGTTAAAGATGAGGCTTAAAAAGGTACTACCTCCGTAACACCCTCTGGTCTCCTTACATGATTAGCTGTGTTTGTTTGCATGTTGCCACTGATTTTGTGCTGGCACCACATTTATAGCTGTTCTATATGTGTGAATCTGCTGTTGTCATCCACCTCAGTTTCTAGTAACATGCTCATCATCCTCACTCAGTCCCTGAAAATGGCTACTGAGTTTTTAGACTTTAGTAAAGCACCATGATAAATGTGATTATTGTCAGTTTCTTTTCTCTCTCCTGTCTGTGTTCCATTACTGTGTAACCAAGGTTTGCCTCCCTGTTGTGTATTTTTTTTCTTTGTTTTTCTAGATCTCTTCCTGTTTGCCCTAGCATGTTGGTGTGGCGTCACAGCTCATCGTCCAGTCCTTGTCTACTACGCTTCACTGGTGCTTCCAAATTCACATTTGACGTTGTAGTTGACGTTGATTGCCCAAAAGGTTTTGTTGTTTCCTATGTCCTATGTGCTGCCAAAATAGGCACTAGAAAGGTTGCCTCTGAGCATTTTTGAATGTTAAAATTTATTACAAGCAAAAGAAAATCTATTTTTCTAGAATAAGTAAAATAACCACTCAATTAAAAAACAATTCAGTTTAATAAGAGTCTCTAGTTTGTTTTTATTGACTGTACGATGGAGCAATTTTTCCAGTGCCTCTCTTTTTTGGTTTTGTTATGTTTTTTGTGGAAAAGCAGCTAATCTCTTTAGATTATGTTGTATGTGAGTGCTAGTGTGTGCCTTATTAAAAAAAAGAAAAAGAAAAGAAAAAAGTCAAAGAAATTGGTGATGACATGTTGTTGTACTTGTGTAATTCCTTCTCCTCTGGAGTTCCCTTTTGAGTGATATGAGGAGGAAACATTCATAATTGTAAAAATGTTTTTTTTCTTTTGACTTATTGTCTCAAAGCACATGATGCTGTTTTACTCTTGTTTCTGCAGATAATCGGATATAGAGGAGAATATTTTGTCAGGCCTGTTTTAGTTTTATTAACTACACTGAAATTTTTGAAAAAAATATCAAGAAAAATGAATATGTTTGTTAAGTTTGCTAAGTTAAAAAAAATAAACTTGTGCCAAATGTTTTGCGCAATCAGTATTCCTCCTTTTCAGGACTTTTGATTTGAGGTGTTTTTACCAAATGCAGTCCGTAGACCCTACAGACCCACATTTATATGGGCTGCAGTTCGTTTCCTTGACTAATGGATCAGTATTGCTCCAGGTAGGGCTGGGCCATATTATACGTTTCATGATAATACCGGTACAATGTTAGGCAATGATAAGAAAATGAAATATTGCAATAGATTATGAGTAAAACGCGCATGCACAATGCTTTTGTTTTCATACACACATGACGGAAAAAGCATGGCAGTGACGGAGAATGAGAAGGGCAAAAGCGGATCATTGAATGAAACAGATGAACCAGAATTGGTTTGTAGAAATGCAACTTCAGTGATGTGGAACTGGTTTGGTTTTCGTCCATCAGAAAGCCACCAAAGCACTTTTTTTTCCTTTGTAGAACATGCAAGCGGGCTGTCGTTATTACCGTATTTATCAGACTATAAGGCTCTCTTTGACAGTGCACCTTATAATCCGGTACGCCTTATGTATGAATTCTGGTTCTGCTTACTGACCTCCAACCGATTTTATGTGGCACACAGCGCTCAAAAATCTATCAAAGAATGTTTTTGTATGACTTTGGTAAGCTACAAAGCCCCACCGCTTGTCGGAGCATTACAGCTACTGTAGTCAGGAGCCTCACAGTAATATACTGTGCTTCAACATAATATTACCGTATTGTGTGTGTGTGTAAGGACTCCAAAATGGCACCTGTTAAGAGACATGCTTATGAAGCGGATTTTAAACTCAAGGCTATCAGTCATGCAGTAGAACATGGGAATAGAGCAGCTGCGAGAGAAATCAGTATTAATGAATCAATGGTACAGAAGTGATGGAAGCAAGAAGAATGAGTTGAGTAAAGTTAGACTTATCTGACTGTTTTAAATTCTCTCGCAGCTGCTCTATTCCCATGTTCTACTGCGTGACTGATAGCCTTGAGTTTAAAATTTTGCTTAATGCGCCTTATAATCCTGCATGCCAGTTTCATGTTGCAAAGCACCTCTTTTTAACTTTTGTGGATATTATACATGGTTAGGCTCAGGATATGTCAGCCCATTTCCACTGGAAATGTCTTTTGGTTAAACTGTCAGCAAGGAATTAGCATTTGCACTCTTACATTTTTATATAGCTTTAATGCAGATAAAAAACAGCTGCTTGTTTAAATGAAAATAAATTGATGGGTTTTTTTGGACTAATAAAGTTGTGGAGTAAAGTATTTTGTCTTGCATCAATAATATAGTCAGTTATATCATTATCGCAAATTTTTAAATTATATTGTGATAAATATTTTTGGCCATATTGCCCTGCCCAATTCCAGGTGTTCTCAAGTATTACATTCAGCATTGCATTTCTCACAATGCACCAGTCGGCCACAACATTATAAACCAATGCGTACTACTTTAACGAAAAAACTATGTGTCGGTGTCGGCTCGCTTTTTCTCTCCATACAGGTGACCCAGGAGTTTGTTTGTTTTTTCGTTTTTTTTT